AGGAACTCAATCGTTTGCTTGGTTTGGTGGAGGGAACGCACGAATCTTTGGAAGAAGTAACTTTGGAGGAAATGTATTTTTGGGAATCATATGTGAATATATAGGTAAAAGAAGAACATAAGGAGTCTAAAGTTGAGGAGGAGGAAGAACAAGAGGAGCAAGATCTCGATGAGACTAAAAAATGCAAACCTTTGGAAATAGACTCTCTGCAGATGATCCATATAACAAGGTGCGATCGCGTAAGACGGTGGTCAATCTTGGAAAGGTCGTTTCCAATGTTTTCCAGAAATATGAAGGAGTTGGCTGAAAAGTTGGATGCCGCCAAGAAGTTTGTTGAGGCGAATGGCTTAGCACAGCTGGAAGAAAGATATCATCAAAGATATGTCAGAGTTGAGTCGGCTTTGGTAACTCGCGTCAAGAGAAAATGGTGCGAACTGGATGCGAAATGGAGGGAAATTGATGGAAAGGTGAGTACGATCCAGCTCCAGTGCTTTGATACTGCAAGTGATAAATTTGTAGTTTGATGCTGGCAGAATGTCATACGCGATCATGCTGGACAATATGGCTGGAACGTATGCATTCAAGGAGTTTGAAGGAACTGTACCTTTCTTTCGAAAATCGCAACGGTAGGATATTCTTGAATGAACACCGCATGCTTTGTAACTCATGTCGCAAGACCACGTGCTTACGAGGGAAGGATGATCGGCCGAAGTGGCGTTTTGAAATGAGCTTTGTACTAGAAAACCAACCTCGGATGTCAACCTCAAACTACTTTCGCTAGGTGTTGGGGGGAGTCATAAGGCCATTTTTCCCCGCGTGACCGGCGCGCCTACTAATGAGCCAGGCGCTAGGTCTGAAGCAGATGGTCGAATCAAATCCTATTGCTGGTGGCTTGATTGCGGTTCAGAAAGTCTCTGGATGACTAGAGACTATAATAGACTATAGCAGACTATAATTGATCATCGTTAGGAGTTGAAACAAGATATTTATGCAAAAAAGCCGCTATTTCACAGGAGC